AAATATTTACAAAACAAATCAAACACGCGTATTCAAATCACCTTTAATACAAGTTTGCTAAGCCAAACTAAATACGTAGCGTTTCCAGTTTTTAATTCATAAGCCCACATACTATCATGTGCTGAGTAATGAATGAAAAACGAGAAACTCTCAGTTAGTACTTTGAATTATTACTCTCATGGTAAGGATATTTTATTAATTAAATATTCACGAACAATACTTCTGTTTTCAGTAACAGTGGCTGGAACGACAATTATTTACTGCAATCAATTTTTTTCTCAAAAAAAATACGATTAAAAACCTAGTTTTTTTAGTTCTTTACATATAACATATTAATAAATCACAATAACAATTTATTTTGACATAATTAAATTAAATAAGTATAGCTATAAATACAATTTTAATATACACTTTGATATTTTATTATTTATATATATTATTTCTATTGTAACGCTTCCCCTAAGTCGAGCACGTGTCAGTAAAGCAGCCCTCGTTTATAATCTTCATTAAGGATACTTGTCTAGTAACAACACTAAAAGATTCTGCTGAGTTGAGAAATCTCAAGGTCACGAGACTTGACTTATTCCATTTGGAGCCGTTTGAAGTTTGGCCACTTCGTTTAATGTATACCTATCATCATTATTTTAAACAGTAAAAACTCTTTATTCCGGCTATATGTTCGATAAATATACGAATACAGAACAGTGAATGGTAATTTATATGTTTATGAGTATACGTTCCTAAGTGACAAAAAACAACAAATATATATAATATAATACAATGATACAGTCATATATTATAAATATATTATCAAAGCGTTCCAAACAGTAATTCGACCTAATTGTCTCACTGGCGTCCGTGCTACGTCTGTCTCCCTAGCAACAACTAGATTAATACCCCCGGCGTGGCTGACCCGAACGCTCTTGAAACCTTGAGGAAGGTCGCGAAGGGTGTCTAGAAGGGTGACGGGGAATTTAACGTCCTAACCTCGAAATGTCCTCAAAAACAAGTTTGACTTCTACCAGCGCCATCTTGTGTCTACTTTAAAACACGCCATTATACGCCTCCGCAATATAATGTTATTTTTTTTTGTTATCTATACAGGGTGACTGGTGAATTACTATCAATATTTAAGGAGCATACTCGGTACATGATTCTCATTCGAATTATGTAAAAAAAATAGGCACTTAATTTTTGACAAAATTTCCGTAATAATAAGTAAAGTGTTGACACGTTCCAAATGTTCAAGTGTGGACGCGTGCGGAGACGTGCTGATACAACACTACGTCACGACACGCGTATGTGTGAGTGTCAGTGTATACCTAATCTGTAGGGTGTTCACACGATGCCTAATTAATTACACAACTTTTGGTTAACTTTACTTAGAAGTTTATTAATATTTATGTTATATTAATTTTTATTTTGTCATATATGATCGTCAAATATCACGTCCTCAAATATCGATAGTAATTCACCAGTCACCCTGTATATTTATCTTCCTTTGTTTACTGATAGATTATAAAAATTATTTTAATATAATTTTATTAGGTTTAATCATATATCTTTATCTGTTTGATATGTAATAATCTATGTTATACATTACATGTTATATATTCTATGAAAGTATTGAATTCATACATTTATTAATTGTCCTAATTCAAATAAATTAATGTAATTTTTATCGTGATTTATATATGATCATATTATTTATATACCTAAAAAACATAATAAGGCACGGGGGTCTTAGAAAATTTTACGGACCCAATATCGCTTCTTATAAGAGTATTTGTATTTGATTACTGAACTTAAATTAATTAATGTATTAATAATAAAAAAAATATTAATGATAATAATTATGTATACAAATAAGCATTTAAATATTACAAACTAGATTATATTTTAATGGCTTAGTTCAAGAGCAAGTTTTAGTTCTACTACTACAACTAGAAGTTACAACTAAATTATTATTCTAGTAATTTTTTAAGTATGAATTCAATAAGGCATTTTTATCTGTAGTGTAAAAACTCGAACTATACCACAGAGTATTGTTTTTCATTCGTACTATTATATAATAATTTACAAAAAAATAACTGTCACTGTCATTGTATAATTGACAATTGACATTTTCCATTTTTTTTTAATTTCCTATAATATAATCTGTTAATTATCATTTATATATTTAAGAATTGAAAGAATATTGCACTAAAGTTAATTATAAATATCTATTTACAAAATTGTTTCTGATTATAACAATTTTTATATAATATGTTTTCTTATAATTAATTTAAATACTAATGTATAGTTCCGTCTGATGTTTAAATTAATATAAAAAGTGAGGTACCGAAACATACAATACTTAAAAAATATTACGATTTTCGTATATAAAGGTATACTGTTCTGTAAATAAAAAAAATATTCAACACTTTTAAAATATATATATATACCTATGTAGTTTGATTTTTTTCTTATTATTATCTCGTCATAATTTTAACAACTGATTATGACTGATTTATTTTGTTGATGTTCATTTAAAACAATTTGTATATATGTATGAAAGATTGTGTTTAACATTTTATCTAAAAACCGTTTTAAGTGAATTTAAAATGAATGAAGCCGTGGCTTCGGTAAAATCTCTGCCCTCAATCGATTATTCCCGAGACTTCAGAGTACATATCTCCTACACTCTGCTTTATTTGAAAGCTTATTTCGGAATACATTAAATAAATGGTAAAAAATATGATAGTTTTTTTGGCAGTTCTTAAAAATAATTCATTTGATACCCGTCTCATTCTATGTAATATATTTATCTTTCAGTGTCTTACATTAATTTTAAATAATGTTTATTACTTCAAAAATCTATTTTACTATTTAGTATAATTTTACACCTCTCATCACGATCTGATATTTAAATATTCAAAATTTCGCCTATTTCTAATTAAAGTACTTAGTCACTAATATATTAATATGTTCATATATTAATTTTCTAACTCCTTAAAACCTCTTTAACTAACTCTAATAGTATAATATATATAATTCTCTGATACATAGTAAAAAAAAAAACATTGACATATATATTTTTTAATAAATCTATTTCCATTCAAACTGATTTGTGGTTTATTCAACCAATATAAACTTTTTTTTATTTATTGTATAGCATCATTCGTAATGTCTGATATAAAACGAGTCAACCTCTTTGCTATTTTATCTCTCCCTAGCAACCTGTGATGCTAGAGTCTAAAAATACACCAACACTCAGCAACTGCATATATTAATTCATATTGTATTAATCTTTGTATATATATGAATTAAAGGTTTATATTAAAGAGCAGAACATTACATGTATGTAGTCTTTCAAGCATACGCCCACCTGAGTGATTTAGTTTCCAATAAAAATTAACGGACGATAAAACATTGGAAGTCATAACAAAGGGGCATTCATCTGTGAGACATGAACATTCGTATCATGTTTATACACTATAAGAACATCGGGACACTTTGATTATACTAAATATATATGGATTAAAGATGCTATTTAACATTTGCTAGTGCTGATATTTGATTAAATATTATTATAATAACTTAGGAACTCTTAAAGCTGATCGTAGTAAAGATTTAATTGTTTAAATGTCCTTTTGATTGTAATGTTTTTGAACTGAATCATCTTGAAACTTTTTATAATAAATTATATTCAAACCACATCTAAAGTTCCATGTGCTCCGTTCGTCGCTGCTCGTTTTATTTTCGTCTGACGTACGTTATTTTTTTTTATCATCCGTTTTTATTTTATATTCTTATAAAAGATTTGCTTTTATAACGTTTAACCTTTCCGCAAAACTTCTCAGAAACCATCGCAAGTCAAATTTCTCGGTAACCGACTCCCGAACCGCAAGGTCGACGTCTAAGGCCGCCATTAGAAATCAGAAAACAAATAATGTGATCCATTCACCCGTGACTCAACACTGACTCTGGCTGGTTGGCTGACTGGCTGGCTCGTTGGCAGGCTGGCCGGCTGGCTGATTGGCTGGCTCGTTGGCTGGTCGGTTCACGAGCACGAAATACGAAAATTGTTAAATGACCTCATCATGATAAAACAAAAATAACAGACGCCGTCGCCTCCCAGAGACTTTTGTTTTTTTACACAGCCCTTTGTTTGACCGGATCCGATATTCAATACTCGACTTCTTTGATACATCTTCTGAATTATCAATATATGTATAGTGTCGTGATGAATCAACTGCTAATATAAAGCATGCAGGAGGCGCTGCTGGAATCCATATTGGACATTGATAGGCAATTTCTCCTTAATTTGAAATCTAACACGAAGTATTTCATGCGACCACAACGACAATTAGACGCATTCCAGTGACTCATCCAGCCGAGACTGTACTTTTATTGCTTGTTTGCATTAATATCGCTGATTTTATACACAACAAAATAATATCTTTACCTGCTCGGTATAAAGTCTCATTTAGTTTAGACACCCCGTGTTCAGCATCGCCGCTACGTTCGCGAAAGCAACTCCGAGTGGCAGCCACGAGGTTGTGGAGCTAATAAAATAACACCGCGCTAGGCGTGAAGCGAAAACTTCGCTCGCCGGACAAAAAATGCCTTTACAATCAGTTTATACACGTTCACATAAATAAATGTGTCATTAGCCCCTGCGGCCGCGCGATACTCAGATAATGTTATAAATGATATCATTAAATATAAACGACTTTGAGCGAGGCCGAGTCTACTGTGACGGTCCTCGGACCTTCGGCTGGCACGTTATCATGCCCCGAACGAGAACACACGGCCGAAGGAATGGTAGAGTGGAACGACGTGAGCGGCCGGTCACCGACGAAAAATACCAAAACCAGTTTGAGCCGCCTTTGTTCAGTGTTTCGGCAGGGAGTTCGATGACCAAGTGGTAGCATGTAGTGCGAAATTTAGGTGCGAGGGTGCAGCAAGGAGGGGGTGTCCAGGAGCGGGGTCGTCGACCTGCATGATTAACGCGTGACTCACCGCCTTTGTCTCCTCGGGCCGCTTACCTTCACACCCTGGCCCGGCCACCACGTGCGGACACCAGTCACCACACGACGACAACCGCCGACACGGTAAGTGTACTCCAACAAGCGCCTGGAACCATTATCACCAGAGCACCTGATGAAGTACAATGGGCGTGCGGCGGCCACAATCCGACTCCGGCGTTCCTCGACCACGTCCTTTCTAGCGGAGGCTCCGCGCGCTACTTCAGGTACCTGACTCCGTGAGAACAGCCCCGGCGCCAGAGTAGCGCGCGGCGCCGCCCGCTCCTGCCTCAACGCGGCGCGGTCCGGAGAGCGTCCGCCTCGGACCGAGTGCGGGACTCGACTGCAGCTCAGAGCTGGCTGAGCGTCCCCCGCGCGTCGCCAGACGTCAGCTGACCGCTGCACCGGCCCTGACATTGGCGCGCCCGCCGTCCCCCGCACCGCCCGCGCCGCCACCCGCCGGCCCCGACGGCCCCGAGGTCAGCGACCCCGCCCGCGGAAGCCTCCTCGCGAATCCGTCGCCCCCCCTCCCCCTCCCCCTCCGCCGCCAGCCACGACGCCTTCCGACGGCGATCCCCCCACAGTGACATTCACCAAGTTTGGATTTTGAATGATTGTAGACTCCTACTACACCGTCTCCAATACATAGATCCCTGTTCGATGCTGTCGCAAATTTTTCCGAAACGATTAAAACGTTCATTAAAATAACAAACCGAGCGTTCGACTTCGTCATACATATTATTTTACATTCGCGTTCATGTTCGATGACGTGTTGGCGACGTAGACTCACAGAGAGTGTGAGATGTAGTGACTCACACCGACACGCGGACCGACTCGACCATTAGTTAAATACGATTGGAATATAATGTACAGTAATACACTAATTAATTATTATCGGCGAGTTACATTTACTTGACGGACCAATCGGACAGTTTTTGCCAAACCGCCGCTAGATAAGTGGGTGATGTAGCTCGTGTCATTATCTGGATGTTAGGAATATCTTATCATATAATGACGATACTTCACGACGGAAGCGTTCTGTCACTGAATTATTTATAATAATGCAGTCACTTGTTATGATGAAATGCAATACACGGGTTTGTGTTGGAAAAATAATCAGATCGAGTCATTTATAAGGAAAAGTATGATATTAATATAAAAATTATATGTTTATAGAATATTATGTTGAATAAACATATATGAATTAAAAAAGAAAATCGTTTAGATTGACTAAGTTAAGGAGTTATGAATTGACAAAATCAATTCTAATGAACAATATAGAAAATAATTTAGGAAATGAAAATATCCGTGCATAATTTTTTTCTTCATTGAAATATACTTAGGTACTCCCAAATTTTATCAATTACAGGTAAAATAAAAGTTATCGTATTAATCATATAAATTTCCTAGTACTATTATTCGAATTAAAATAAGTTTATGTTTTTAAATAGAAATAGGTAAAAATTAAATATTCAGTGTGCAATAATTCTTTTGACTCAGGTATGTATTCCCTGTGATTTAACAATCTTAAAGAGTTCACTTTTAAACTATATTATAGTTATTATCATTTAAATCCTTGAGCTATTTCAATAAATATAAACATTATAATAGAATTAATATTATTATTCACATAAAACAGGTTATAAATATACCTGATTACTATATAAAAAAATACAAATATCTCAATCAAATCATGATTAAAAATAGATATTTTTGGAGATTTTTACATTCTTTTCGATTATTCAACAAAATTTCGCCAAATTTCAAATTAAATTATATTTATATAACCCAATGGTTATATACATACATAAATGCGTTTACTTTTCAATATTGGCCTAAGGATATTATTTAAGTGATATAATTTGTATGAAATAGGAAAAATATATGTATATATAAATACTACATATTGAATATATAACATAATAATAGAAGAAAGTTTTATTCTTCCCACGCGTATCCTAACTGATTATTATTACAATCTGTGATCAAGTGTAGTGTATTTTATGTCATAATTAGTGAGTGACGTTGCTGTCACTTGAAGTGTGTCACGTTGGGTGTATTGGTATGGGTATGTTAGTGTATTGTAAATATTTTACATTATGACATGTTACTTCTACTGACTTTGCTTATGAATAACATATATTTAGGTTTTATAAAGCAATGGACGGGCACCCGCACAGTAAATACATGGAAGGCTGAGAAGATTCGTCTCTTTATGATTTTATTAATTATCATTATCATTATTGTAAATATGTAAAAGGAAAGCTTTTTTTAGGATTTTTTTAACTTCAATGTTTCATTATTATTTGTTGGACCTCACAGAATTTTAATAGTGAGTAAAAAAATAGTTTAAATTTGTCGACACCGTTATTCAAAAGTTGGGACGATATAAAAAATATATTCATGTAATAAGATCTTTTAAATGTTAAAGAATTGTTTAGATAATATTATAATAAAAATTTAAATTTAAAAATAGAGAATATAAATTCATTTACACTGCGAGAATTTGGATTTGTAAGACACGATAGTTTAGATTCCGAGGTCGCAGGTTCAATCCTGCTTGTGTCGGTGAAATTTTCATTCTATGTTTTCTAATTCATAATAAAAATATTCTTATTGAGTTTTCAAATTTAATGCATGATTCAATTTAAATATACATATTTTTGCAAGAAATCTTCTGACCTCGCAGGTGTAACCTAGCAGAAGTAAAATATATACATATACTCGTATCTAATAATAGTGAGGGTTTATTTTTTAAGATTAGGTTTAAGATCTTAGCAGCCATCAAGTTATGATTAGTGAATAAAATACAGAAATGAAACAATGTTTTATGCAGGAAATACTTTAAATAATTCGAGATTAGAAAGTTAACACCATATGATGTTTGTATCATTGTAATATTTATTAGAAATATATGTTCCTAAAATAAATAAAAGTTTTATTTCTTCTATTAAAATTGGTAAAACATTTAATTTATTATTTACCCGGGATATTGAATATATATATATATATATATATATATATATATATATATATATATATATATATATATATATGTTATACTCGTACTTACACGGTTCAAGCGACGTATCCACATATTATCTGATTGTTTTTGGCGTCGGGTCCAATAATAAAGTAGTCATAACAAACGAGCCGGCTTGAGGTGAACACTCCAAGGTTCAGGGAGCAGACAATGACGCGAGGACATCACCTCCTCACCTCCAGCGGGCGAAGGTTAAAGGACCAAGGGCGGTTACAACGAGACACCAAATATAGCTAGGCTTGAATTTAAACGAATGTCTATCGCATGTATATGTAACATCTACAAATAGTATATATAAAAGAAAGCCGACTTAAGAGAGAAAGAAATAGAATATAATATAATTAGTTGCACTATTTATAACTTTTTTTAAGTACGGATTTGGCTGATAAAAATATACATATTATGTCTTTATATATAAGAGAAAGTCGTGTTAGTTACGCTATTTATAACTTGAGAATATAGTACGGGTTTGTATGGAAATTGGTGGAGATAGCTTAGAACATAGAAAGGACATAGGATATTTTTCATCCGATTGAAAAGAAATAAAATAATTACATACAAATCATAATCTTCTTTACTGATTCTTTGAGGAATAGAGTTCGTACGATCATATATATTTATAATTATGAAACTAACACAGACGAAGTCACAGGCAAAAACTAGTATATATATATATATATATATTTCTTGACAAATTACGCCGTGTCTGGCTTCGAAAATCTGTAGGTTTTACTTGCATTGTTCCCGTACATTTGAATCGAGACGATTGCAAATATCTTACAGTCAATGTTTGTTTTCTTTAAGCCATGTTTTTGGCGTCTACTTCACAATAAGAGATAGCTTAATCATAATTTCACGCTATTTTTCATACTTTTCTTAATTAATGACAAGTTTTGCTCTCTACATAATTTATGTGAAGTCTCGTAATTACTATTCAAATATATTGTTATATACTATTGTTGATGTTGTTTTCAAATTAAACTTTCAATATTATTAATGGAAAAGGTAGATAGTGTTTAATTTTGTTTTTGTTAATTGTCAACAATAATTAAAAATTCCAACCGACTTACCTATATACTATAGAGGAAATATTCTGATGTTTAAACAACTTAAATTAACTTAGAATTAAAATTTAGTATACGTATTAATATATACATAAATATAGTGATAGAAGTCGTATTTGATGTAAAAAGTATTTCTAAAATGTTTTACATTCTTAATACATTTTTAATTTTTTTTTTTAGTTACGTACCTACCTATAAAATTAATTTCGTAAACAATCTTTCATATTATTTTAATAAAAAGTTTGTAATATTCAATGCAATCTTCTTTTCATTTTATCAATAAATCTAAATAAATATATATTGTAATTTAAATGTTTTTATTATCCATTTCATTTCCTATATATTATGAAGATTCAGTTCCAACCGATGGTTACATTCGCAATAATAGTTGAAGACATATAAATCTCTATTCGCTGTTCACAGAACTACTGCGTCCCAGTTGCTTTGAATTATAGCATCTTTATTATTATTCAATTGCTCAAACTATCTCTTACTTTAAACATTAACTATGAAAACAAACACGGAATATATCAACTGCTGGAACACATAAAATAAATAAAAAATTAAAAGCCTTTAGTATGTACAAATCTTATTTACTATTACAAATATTGAACATATATATAAGTCTTTTTATTACATTTTATATATGTATTATATATTTTCAGACATATATATTTATATAAATATTTATTCAATATGTAACAAATATTTGTATAATAGATAAAAAAGTAGTAAGAAAAAAATAATTGATGAATCAACATTAATAGTCTTTCGATTTCTGAACGGTTTAGGAATTTGTCATTTCTATTCAATTTGATACTTAGATATTACGAAATTAAAAGAAAGTATCCTGTCATTTTAACTTAAATGAATTTCAAATAACTGTATAATCTTAAATAAAATTCAACAAAATAATTGCATATAAATAATAGTTAAATATAATACAATTAAGTTCTAATAGTAATCTTTTATTACTATTTTCATTTGATTTATAATTTATTCTTTATCCAATTTAATTCTTGTTGCTACATGAATTCCATTAGACACGCGACCGGCTCGCATAATTAATTGAGCGTACATCTCTATATATAAATAGTATTAATTTTATTCAATATATAATAGTATTTTTCCATCACCGGTACCGTCTGTCTGTACGCTTCACTGGAGGTATACATATTTAATTTGATTTATGTTCCAGGAACAAACTGTTTCTACACAACACGGTTTGATTATTGCTGAGTTGGAAGTGATAAAAAATAGTTAATTTTATTTCATTTTAAATGATAATCAACACATAATACATATTTAGTAAAATATTATCTCTTAAGTATATCATTGTATGGATTTAGAATGTAAAAAGATTTTCTTTTTCAACTTTAAAAGGATAAGAACATATTATTGTAACTTTGTGCGTAGTTAAAAACAAACATACATAATATATAAAAATAGCAATCATTCTTTGTGTTTGTATGTAAATATATATATATATATATATATATATATATATATATATATATATATATATATATATATATATATATACATATATATAAATAGAAAATACATTTAATTTCTAACAAATTTAACCAAATTATTAATTATTTTATTCCAACAATTAAGTGTTTATAATAGAATTAAAATCAATGTTATAATTGATTTGATTTTAAGATATCCGTTACTCGACGTTAAGTGAAAATGTCTGCGGGGCTCTACGGAAATTACTCGTTAGGGAAATAGCTTTTACAATATTTATAATAATCGATATCAACAACAAATTGTCTACATGTTAGAATATACAGCTTGTGCCTGTATTTAATTTGATTGTGTTCAAATATATACATTTATTTTGGAGGTTAATTCTTCATACATATTTCGATCAATGACAGTTACTCTGAAAAGAAAGTATTACTGAGACAGTCGTTATTTAAATTCAGAGTTATAAAGATAGAATAGCTTGTAGATACTAGATAATTCTATAGATATTTTGTAATATTTATTATTGTCATCACGTAAAAATTATAGCACTATTACCATTAAAAAAAACGTTTATGCAAAGATTTAAAACTATCTTTTCAAGAAATAAACTAAAAAGTTTTTCACGTTTCATGATTCTCGCCAATCATTTGTGAAAGGTACGCTTACGAGTTTCCTTATACACTACATACGTAGCGTTAACAGTTCTTCATTTATAAATCTTCACACATAATATTAACGTATGTATTACAAAACTATATAATAAAGATTTCTCTTTTTGTTTAACTTTTCGGACCGATACAAGATAGATGATGCTACAATTATACTTTAAAATATCGTGTTTGATATCTTTATTAATAATATTACTTAAATATTGGTGGCAAATAATGAACCAAATCTCATAAAAATCTGGTTAAAGTCTTGGCATTTGGAAAAGGAAAACGATTCTTCAATATACAACAAAGAAATCATGATAATATAAAAACACTGTTGTTTTTTCATTTCAATCATATAATGAGAAAAATATTTTTTAATAAAATGTTTTTTCAAAAATATTTGTATTAATATTTTAATATGTCGACTGACACTTTCAACCTTTGAGTCTATTACTATAAAATTATTATAACCAACAAATAAAGTGAAATATTACGTTAAAATATTCGAAGAAAACAAAAACACTTTTTTCGCATAACTACTTACGTATTTTTTATTACTTTATTTTTAAATTTTCTCGACGTTTCGATCACTTTCATCTCACACTGTGATCACGGTTGCTGTAAAGTAATCGAAACGTCTTGAAAATGTAGAAATAATATAATTAAAATCTCGTTGCTATCCGAAAAACTTAGTTTCACTTCAACAATAAACCTTAATCAATTTACGACCAAAAAATCTGGACGATTTTAAAATAAAAATACAGAATAGATAAAAGTAATTTTATTAAAACTATAATATTTATAAATTATTATTAAGTACTTAATACAATATATACATTATAATATTTTTTTATTACATATAAAATTAATTTAGACTAATATTAATAAGAATTAAAAGGTAAGTAACAGTTCTAAGATTTGTCGTAATTTTTTTACCTTAATTTTTTATTTAAAATTAATTACATTTAAATAAAACAATATGTTTTTTTATAATAAACATATTCTTATACTTCTTAATTCGTAATAATATCTATATTACATATATTTAGTTAACAACAATTTTTTACATAAGAGTCATAATTATTAACCTAAGACTTATTCTCTTAACGATAAGTTCAAAGTCAAATAGATACATAAAGAAAAATAATTGACACAAACAGGCTTCAAACCTGCTACCTCCGTACCTTTCAGTCGTCTTAATAACTGAGCCATGGCGTATTGACGAAACGAATATAATTTGAAATACCAAAGTACCAATCAAGTTCAAATAATGGCATCAGTGATTTTTTTATTCTCAGAATTAGATTAAATCGATTTAATTTTAACTCTTTAACAAAAAATATTTATTATTATGAAAGATACCTATATTAGTTAAATTATCCTTCATATTAATATTATTATTGTAATTTATATGTAAGAGACATTTTTTAAAAGAATACGTTAATTAAAGGCAGTCTTCAAAAAATCAATTATATATTTTTTTATGTAATCGTAAACAGAAATTTGTCCAAAAATATGAGACAATACAGTATGCTTACCACATGTTATACGTCAAACTAAATACGTAGCGTTCCTAGTTTTTCATTCATTATACCTTCGCACGTCATAGTATCGGCGTAGTTTTACGAATTAAAACCTTTTAAACGTCCAGTTTGTAGTTTCGCTACAGAAACTTGTAGTAAACGTATAATTAGGTGAAGCATTTATAGTATTTTGATATGAGGTCCCAAAATTTTATAAGAAATATTTTTGTAACTTGCAAACACATTTGAATGCTTTCAAATGATTCAAAAATAACGGTGGTATAAATCGGGAGTTGTACTTAATAATATTTGTCGTATTGAAAATAAAATTATTAATACAGACAAAGACAGGTGAAAATCTATATTATTTAAAATCTTATCAAACTACGTAATTTATCTAGAAGAGTAGTAATTATTTCTTATACCAATCAGCTAATTTCGGGCTTTATGTACCATATGTACACACATAAAAGTATATATACCTATATATATACTTTTTCATACTATAATTAAGAAATATTGCATTAAAAACTAGTTTTTTTATTAAATTAATTATTTCATATATTATTCATAATTTATTTATATAACAAAATAGTCATAAACTAGCAATTTATATTTACAAGTCATTTTTAGCCTAGGACCAAAATCATATGTCCATATTAAGAAGATCCTTAAATTTTCCCTATTTTTAGAAACTGTTCGATTCATAAAGAGTTTAAAGGATCATGTCAAAATGGTTGTTTGACATCAGTTGTAATCTTAAGTAAAAAAAAAAATGTAAATACCAACAAAAAATGATCTCAGTTTTCATAAATTCTTGGTACTATGTACATGTCTATCATATTGGATGCTGAATAAATCTTTCTTAATAATTTTTATGTCCAACCTACAAATACTCCTTAATTATGTTTTTCATCTACTGTGCGTTACTTACAAGTATCTTTAAATATCATAATCTTCTCATCAGACACCGCTTATTGCTTCGACAGAATTTTCTGGTTTGTACCTGATAGCTTCATTAGTTTAAAAGTTCCACTTAATAATATAGAACACTTGGAGATAAACTTATACCTAGCACTTACAACTACCCTACAAATAGTTCAAACAAGTCTAAACGACTTAGTCATAATAATACAATTACTTCAACAATCCACGAAACACTTTTCGATACATGCACACTAAGTGACCAATTCTCTATAACCACACTATACCTTCGTCACACTAAGTGACCAATTCTCTATAACAACAGTGTACCCATACCAATTCTAAATGTCCAAGTCTCTGATTAGACTATAATAAATCAGTTATTGTAGACCCTTCAACCTCGTACCCGGGTGGAGCACACCCGGCGTGCGTGTTATAGCAGCGCCCTGGCGGCTGAGGAGTTCGGTCTTCTTGGTCTCCTAGACCGGCGAGGTCGGGTCGGTCTCCTGGACCGGCGTGTTCGATTCGGTCTCCTGTTTCGTGTGTTCCGCGGGGGGACGCGGGGGGCGCGGCGTCAGCGGGCCGAGCTCCACCATCGGAGACAGGAAGGCTCGACACTACGAGCTCGAGAGGCGCGGCGGCTAGCCTCTTCTAAGACCTCCTGCACGAACAACATATAATATAATACAAACAATAGATATTAGATATCATGACCAATCACTTAAAGAAAACTAATATTTTCCAGATGTTACTACGCGACTTTATTTTTGTAAAAAACTACATATTCCCGACGTTTTGGCTACTTTACAGCAACCGTCATCACGGACAGACGAGATCCGAAAGATATTAGTTTCATTTAAATGAATAAAACTCCCTCAAATCTTAGATCTCATAACCAATCATATTGAAGCCGCACCTGTTTCTTCAGCACGATGTGTTTTCCCTTCCAGTACTTCATTAAGCCACGTTCTTGTAAGGTCGATACGATATCCGATGACGCGATAGCCAGATCCTTGCTGAGGTCTCGTATACATAGCGTGGACCCCGACGCTGAACAGAGCCTCTTCAATAGAGCCTCCTTCCAGTAGGACCTATACGATATGAGCCCCAAGTCCGAAAGCGGGGTCTCCGGCGAACCCACTTTACCCTCCACTTTAGTTAAGAGGTAACCTGATTGAGAAACGTAAACATTGAGGCAGGTCAGGTACAACCACAAAACAACCACTTAACGGACTAACTTTAATTACATATAAAATGTAATAGTATAATTCGGTATATTTTACAATCAATATGGGTCTAAAATGGAATTAACATAGCTGAGAACATGACTAACGAAACATATGTAATTATTATCATAAAGACATGTTATTGTTAAATAAATGAATCATTTGAATCGTCAGCAATAATCGAGGAGACAATTTATACGTATCTAAATGTAACATATAATGTAGGCATCAAAATTCCGCGCATCTGTAGTGTTAGTCTAGACGGCGGGCGATCTATAGCGGTGTATCGATCGACACGAACAGGGAACTCGCACCTGACTTGACCGCTCAGGTAATATTCATATTGGTAAACATTTACCTTACCTTACCTATTAATGACTTATACTCACTGAAATCTATCAACAGCCTGCCGTATCCCTGACGCTGGTACGGTGGTAACGTCAGTATACAAGACACGTTGTAGTTTAAGAACGAATTTTTTTCCTGCGAACAATATATACATATAATATAGAAATCTAAATTAGGTATAACAAAAAAAAACTATTCAAAATATCAATCAAATAATTCGAAACTATCAAACAGTCGTAGTGTCTGCAAAGAAGTTTCTGATGGAGAATTCCTGGTCGGAATTTGTGGAGTTTAATGAAGGTTGGTACATTCTAGATTTATTGCGTTACGTCTAGACATCACTGTTTACATCCGTGGATTGTGACAGGGGGGAGGGTGCAGGGGTGCAGGGAGGGTGCAGGGGTGCAGGGTGTATTATGTGTTCGAATGTCTTTTTGAGGGGAACCCCGAAGGACATAAATAAAACGCTTATAACATGTCTGCGTTGTACTGAGGAATATGAATGTGGGGTTCACTTCGGTTAGCATTTATAACAGACCATCACTTATATTTTGATGAAGTGTTAATTATATATATTACACCTAATATACATATACATACATATATGTATATATTTTTAGATTAGAATTCTTATATAATAAAATATGTATGAATGGGATTTTTTTTAAATGATATTATATTTCATAGCAAATTACTTACAGTCTTTATAAGAACATTATCTATAGTTTTCGTGTTTCGTACGGCTTTGTAAACATGTGATTATATGGTTTTTTTTTCTAATATAGTATACAATACTTTATTAAATCTAGCCTTGACTATTAAGTGAATAAATTTGACCTAAATTACTACATTAACACATATTCTAAGAATGTGTCCAATAACACGTACTTAGTCTTTAAGGCGAAGACACTTTCATGTGATTGTGTGGGTAGGAGGTTAAACTTCTCTCAGACAGTCGTCTAGCCGTCTTGAGGTGAAGGGAACCAGGGATTGAGACAAACGATTAGTTAACTAACAATTAAAAATCATATACGTAATTATCATTATATTAAAAATCTATTATTAACTTTATCGAGATTGCCAATAGTTTAAAATATGTAATTCAAAGGGCATAGCGAGATAAGTATGGGAAATCTGTCCCCATGGCTTTTTTTGACAAACCCTTAGGGGATCGATTTGGCATCAAATAAAAATAATTCACACCAATTTTTAGCCTCTTAACTCCTGTTTTTTAATTTTAATTTTATTTTTATACTGAAATTCGGAGTTAATCGATGGTGATTTTTTTCTTATTATTAGGAGTCTAAAAGAAAAAAAAAATCGTATTCAAAAAATAGTTTTTTTTTAGGGTTTTTGAAATAGGTCAATCACCAAAATTTGTCAGAACATGTATTTTACACCCCACGATACTCTGGAATTTTTTGGAGATTTTTTGAAGTGGTGGAACAATGTCAAAAAAATTAAAAACTCATTTATACCTACATTTAATTATCGGCTTGGATGGTAACACTATCATAGAGCGATGTTAATAGTACTTTGGGATTAGTTTTCGTGTATTTGAATAAAAAATGAGGTGTAAGGTCAAAGGTTAAGCTTAAGAATGATTTAGGGAACTATCCTTTAGTATACAACTCATCTGTATGTCTGTCTGTGTACACTTTTGACTGTACACTGTGTGATTTTTTATCTGTAATTATTATTAACATAGTGATATTTTTTACATTAGCATTTTTTTTGCTGTATGATAATGGATTTTTTTAAGACTGAAGACAAGAAAAAGTTTAGTTTAACAGTAAATTAAATTGCATGTAACCAAGAACTTAGAAGGTTGTTGTATTAAATTATGATTTAACCGAAACTTAATAAACTATATGAATATACTTCATAACTTTTTATTTACATACGACTTTGTCTACATCATCGAAATATACAATACTTTTGTATCGTACCTCTATATATAATAATTAATTAAAGCCTACAAATAAAATATGAATTATATATTTATAATATGATATAAATACAATGGAAATTATTAATATTGTAGACTTATTGAGTTAATGTATTTTTTCAGCTATCTGGAAAGAAGTATTAAAATTTATCTAAATTAATAAAATAACAACAAAACATTTAATAACACGGGAAAGAAATAAATGTGAAATGTAAACTAATTAATATACTGGGAAAGCATAAGTAATAAAGATATGTATCATAATGATCATATAGGGTTAAATTTGAGGGTTTATAGAAGGTTCGTTTCATGAAACACGTAGCGTAGCATTTATAAATAAAAGCCTCCCAATCTATAACCGGTGGCAGCCCTGAGTACATTGACCCCGACCCCGCTGTCTCGACGTCTGTGTACGGATTCCATTCCAGACTTATCATACTATATCTTGATATTGATTTTAAACAGTCTGGCTCCCGTGTACCGGGATTCACGATTATATTGTTCACAAAATAATTATAATTAATTAATTAATATCATTTTAAACGTATTAAAAATATTTATTTTATATAAAATCAAACAAACTATACTAAAATCGGTTTAGTTTAAAATGAATTATTAAGTGTAAATTAATGACTATAGAGGTGTATTTAATGAATTCGATACACTTATACATTTACTACTACGTCGTAGCGGGTCTACGAGCTGTCACATTTACGCTGTAGTGCTACGACGCTACGGCGTAGCACTAGTAAATGAGCGTAAGAAATATCACAAAGGAATTTAAACTTTAAAAGTATGCACATAAAATATAAATTACATTGATTTGTGAAAACCTTTGTTGGGTTTCAAATTTATAACATTTATTCGATTTTAAAACGTACAGTTATGTTATAAGGTTCAAAATAGTCTGCAGGAATTATTAGTAGATAATGTTTAATGAATGTGAATTGATTGTATTAAATATAACAGTAGCTTTAAAACTAGACTGGCAACGATGTGATATATTATAATAGATATATTGAGAAAAAATTCTATTCTCTTTAACCTTTAAAAAAGATACCGTGCTTCATAAATCCAACATTAGAATCAGAAGATTCTTAAATATTTACTTATAAATATTTCTTATAATTTCTTCAATTTCATGAGATCGAACAGAACAAAACATACATATAACGTACACATAAACATCATTTCAATATTATGACAATTTCATATACAATAAAATCATTCAATTAATATACGTATATACATACATATATTTATATACACACACAGACAGTACCGACGGCCGCCAATTGATTATATATTTCGGGTGTCGTAGGTCAGTTCCGTCTCGACTAAACCCCCTCCCTCACGACTAGACGGGGTGAGAGAGTGGGGTTGAATTGTCTGCGTTTATACATGCTATATAACAATACATATATATATATTAACACTATTTATTTATTTATTTATAATAAGCACATTAACAACATACATATTAAAAGTTTTCAGTTAAGGAAGGTGACTATATTATAACAACAGATATGTACTTCAATGATAAGTGTACATAACATTTACTTAATACAATTAAAAAAGTATACACACTAATTTAAATATAAAACAAAAATACTACGTAAAAGTAACAAAATTAAAAAATATATTATATAAACTTAGGAAAATTATGAATTAGAAGAAAAATAGTCAATAATTTCCTTTTTAAATACATAAAACGAATCGCCAAATAGTTCACTATATAAAATACATAGTTTTCTTTATATATATGTATATTTTTATATGTAATTGTAATATTAGTGTTAAAATCAAAATAGCAAGGCGTGCCGGTCATTGACCCCACAGCTGTTGTTGAATGGTGTAGTATTGTAGTAGAATGATGTTAACTACAATTTATATCATGAATACTACTAGTTGTTAAATAGAGAATCATATGTCTAGAATAGATATAGTATTAGTAGGTAACAGAAACTTATATTGATTATTGATGATCAATTAATATGTGAAATGTTTGATTTTATTATTTAATATATATGTGCGGTTACTGTACTTAACACATATGGGAAATAATTAGAAAATAAACGTATGTAATAAAACAGTTAAAACTCGATATATTTAATAAGTTTTAATAAGTTAATAAAAAAATGTGATCGTCAAAAATAATAATGATTATTTTTTTGTTGACGATTCGATCACTTATTTATTTCAGTAATTATTTGCAAATACATGTGTTTCTAAAATGTCGATATAATAATAATTGTCTGTTTGTAATTTGCAAGGGATCATGAATTTTTTAATGAATGTTTTTGTTTAAAAAATTTAAATCCTAAAAAAGTTTTATCTACTCATATTAAAATATTTTTTGGGTTTATCAAAACCGAACCTAGTGTATAGAGTTTTACAAGAGCTGCCTATAACGACTTCATTTAATTTTATACGATATTTAATGTTCCATCAATTTTCAGTATCAAAAACCAACTTTAACATATATATATATATAAGGTTTCTTATTTAATGAAGACGTATAATACTAGTCACATAAACAAGATAACCATATTAAACCAAAAGTAAAAAGAACTATATAAATTAAGAAAATAGGATCCCTACTAAATATATAAACGTAAGAAAAAATACAAATTAGTAGTTAAAATACAAAATAATCGCTTTTGGTTACATAAATCATAGTTTTTTAACTATAGAACAATCGCAAAGCAATATATGTAGAACATAACGTTTAACATATAACATACAAATATATGACAGTGAAAGTAGGTGAGGAAAATCATTAAATTTAAGTGTATTTTAATTAAAGTATTTTATAATCCTTAAATAACGAACCTTGTAATGAGACTAAAGTTATTTAATACATAATAATATTATTATTAATTTTATAGAATATTTAATTCAATAAGGACACGATGGCTCAATTAGTAAAGCGACGGCATTGCGATATTCCAGAGGTTGCAAGTTCGATTCCAGTTCATCTACATGAATTCTGTCACTTTATATTATAAATTTGAATTTGATTTCAAATATTAGTAAAAAATTCTTAAATGTTATTCATAATTAATAATTATTATACATTTTTATTGTTCTTGCATAATTTATAACAATATTTATATACATTATTAAAGTGAAACTTCTTATGCAACTGCCACCACGGTTGCTTTAAACGTTTAATTCTCCTTGGAGAGGGGATGACAAAGACAGAGTGAGAGGGAATGCGTGGCTCTCGGATACATGCGGGCAAATAATTTTGACTGGTAATTAATGTTAATAAAGTTTGTCTTTCAAAAAATTGTCTATTCCTTCCTGTTTTCATTGTAAAATTACGAAGTTTTACTTCTTTCATGCGGAGGGAGTCCACGCACTATTATTTGATATATGACATACACACTAATACACCTACACTCACATGAATTCTACCACGTTTGCGGGTTTATTGACAAAAAAACATCATTCACTACAGTGATCAAGAAATTGTAAACAAGAAAACAAGCTTTATTTCAGTTCAGAGCAGAAAATTGTATTATAAGTCCTATCAATATCCACGACCTCTTTTAAAACTTTAAATATTGTTTTTTATGTCCCATAGAAGCAAACGAGCCGCCTAGATGATGATAAGTAGTTACCATCACTTATGGATATCTGGTGTTGTAGATATGTTGCCAAAAGTTGTTGAAAAACTGGGAGTTATGAGGATAAAGAAATGGCAGAAAAAGGTAGGAACAGGCAAATTACAACCGTCTCTTTCACTCATTTGACGAAACGCAGCCATTAAAGGCTTTTGTGAGAGAGTGGTAATTAGCTCAAACGAGCATATATTCGAGTCGATTTTACTTGACATAAATTCTACCTAGTGATACTATAAATTTTCCCTTACCTTACTGAAATATCCAACAATATGACAGCCTTCATCATCAGCGCATGTCATCACATAGAAGAGGAATGGCTCCACGTCGTAGTATAAAGTCTTATGGTCCAAGAAGAATTTGGCCAATAAGCATAGTTGCTGGCAATATTGCTTGTGTTTCCTTCCATCCACCTGCCATACGCTCAAATTGTCCTTTCTGTATACCTAGGATGAAAACAGTTATTATTATTTTGATTCTGGTCATTAATATGTAAAAATTTATTGGTTTTTACTTTACTAGTCATTTTTATGTATAGATGACGATTATAAGTTGGTGAATCGTGTAAAGACGTTACGAAAGGACATATACAAACTGCATACATTTATTTTGTAAATCTGATTTAAAAAAATAGAGTTTTTTTTACATGTTTGCGTTTTTGTTCCAGACAATACTTAAAAAATGTCGTTTATATTTGTTAGTTATCTCATCACAAGTTAATATAATCACGATAGACTAAGTATTTCTTATTTCTCGATGAATGGCCTACTTTAGTATCGTGAAGAGATTTATGAATGTAAACTGTCTGTATTATGACGATGTCAAGTTGAACTAAGCCTACAGTTCACAAATAAAAAATTGTTAGTTTGTGTGTACAGTGTTATCAAATGTGTGTGTGTGTGTGTGAGTGTGTGTGAGAGAGTGATATCAAATTTGTAAATGTATGAGAGTGTAATCAAGTGTGTGAGTGTGACTGAGAGTGTTAATGAACACCTGAATATGTATGAGTGTCATCTACTCATTAGATGCCTAATTTTATAAGAGTGTAAACAAGTGCGTGAATGTTAGAGTATTATCAAGTGTGTAAATAAGTGTAAATGCTATCTTATGTTTGAGAGTATTACTAACTACATATTTGAGTGGAATCAAGTGTGAGTGAGATGGCATCAAGTATGTGAGTATAAATAAATGTGTGAGTGTATGTGTAACGTATACTAAACATGTGTGTGAATGTGCGGGAGTGTATTTATGTGTGTAAAATTTGTCCGATAGTGTAATCTAATGCCCAACTGTGTTTGAGTGTGTATTCAAGTTAGTGAGTGTGTATCAGTGTAATCTAGTACCTGACTGTTAGTGAGTGTGCATTCAAGTATGTGAGAGTATATTCAAGTTTGTATGTGTGAGTGTAGTCTATTGTCTGAGTGTATAAGAGTGCCACAAAGTGTTAACAAGTTTGTGTGTGTGTGTGTGTATTACCTCGTCCCCCGGCGGATGTCTCCACACACACTTAACCTTGTGCCTGTTAGCGCCGGCCGCGCACTTGTGGTGCGACAGACAGAACTCGCACACGAACAGCCGCGGTACTCGCGCCGCGTCTCCCGGGTAGGGCGACTGATACCACACTTCCATCAAATACTTGCCCATCACCACGTATCTGGACGAAGAACATAAACTATTTATAGGGAGAGAGAAAAAACATTGTTATAATTACAAGCAGTTATTACGAGAACATATACATATAGGGGATAGGACAAAACCACGTAACTAGCATTGGAAGCAGATTACACGAAAGTTTGAGCTGAAATATTTTCTATATTAAAGATTTTTTTTCACAATTAGTAATTATTTAGTGTTTAATTTATCTGTTAATCTGCCTCTAATGTAGATACGCGGAATTATCAAATGATAACTATTTAGAGGGAGAGAGAAAAAACATTGTTATAGTTACAAGCAGTTTATACGAGAACATATACATATAATGATATCTAAGATTTTCGAGTACTCATTTAAATGAAACTAATATTTTCGGATTTTACTCACATCTCGTCTTAATGATCACGGTTGCTGAAAAGTAACCGAAACGTCAGGAGTATGTAGTTTATAATAAAAAATGATACGCGAAGTAAAATCCGAAAATATTTGTTTCATTTATATATACATACTAGCTTTCCGCCCGCAGCTTCGCCGCGTGGAGTTCGGTTATATCGCGTTTCCAAGAGAACCTTTCAAAAGTCTGGGATAAAAACTATCCTATGTTCTTTCTCAAGGTCAACTCTATCTCTGTACCGAATTTCATTAAAATCAGTTCAGTGGTTTAGGCGTGAAAGCGTAGCAGACAGACAGACAGACAGACAGACAGACAGAGTTACTTTCGCATTTATAATATTAGTAGGGATAGTTGGTGATAGTGCAAAACCGCGTATCTACATTGGAAGCAAATCAGAAGAAAGTTTGAGCTGAAATATTTCCTATATCAACGACTATAAGGTATTTTTGCTCAATTAGTAATTATTTAGCATTTAATTCATCTGATAATCTGCTTCCAATGTATATACGCAGAATTATCAAATGGTTAATTACGCGGATTTGCATTATCCTCGACTATATATTGATTAGCTACTATGTAAAATATATTTTTTGACGCGATCGTTAAGATAAATTTAATGCAATTTAATCTTTTAACCATTTTTCCACAACAACAATATCTATCGAACATTTTTTTAAGCAATACAATAAAATTAATCATATAAAAGATAGCAGATTTTATATAATGTGGGTAGTTACGAACCTAGTTCCTTTATCCGTGGATATATCTCCTAATTCCTCTTCTATTTTAACGGCTGCTAAAGCCTGCGCGTCCCTGAATAGCCTTAAGTCATAATCTGGAGCGAATCCTTCCAACACTGGTTCCCTCTCCTCACCCAAGTCTTCATTGTTCGCCATAGATCGTAACTCCTGACTGCCCTTCCATTTTGAACGCAAATCCTTGAAGAAAGTCAATGAATTAAAATTAAAATACAAGACTTTGTAATTCAAACGTGTATACTTTAAACGCAAGTCCTTGATAGTCATAGAAATGGTATACAAGGTATTGAAAGAGAAACTTCTATGACTTACAAAAGTAGATTTTGATAAAGAATTTTTTTGTTGCGTATAAAAAACTTGTGTGGTTAAGAAAATTTGTTGTAACCGGCAACGCCATCTACCGTCAGGGAACGTTACTAAATAAACCAATTGAAGGCTACTGGCTGAGAAAGAACAAAAATTTTTAAGAAATATCGTCGTCATTATAGTCCTTTTAAGAATATATATCAGAACAGATAAGAATAGCTTAGCGATCGCTTTTTCGTCAACGGTTTTATTATTCATGTTTTGTAACAATTTTCACTCAACACAACGCAACTCATATAAAGTCTGCATAACATTGCTAATTATTGATTTCAGTTTATTCATTTTAAAGTTAGTTCACCAAAAAACGCTAAAATTTAATTGAATAACAATGTTCAATATAACGATTTCAGTACTAGTACGCAAAAGTTTCCGTTACGCTGTCAGCGAGCAGAGTTGCTGAAGCAATTATTAACATTAAAACTATGTTCTCCTCATGTGAATAATAAATATAAATGAATATTATACAGTACAAAATCCATAGATAGGACAAAATTTTTAACCTGGAATATCGTATATTGCGTTACATTTACTTTCTCAACTAAGCCAATAATAGCTATATTCTAACTAGTAGGTATGAATGAAGATTTCACTCTTTATTTCTATTCGAATCGTATGAAGCTTTGTTTGCGTGCTGTGTATAAAAGTTCCATTTACTTCATCATCATGATATCCCAACTCGTATGAGTGAATTATTCACTGTATACTTCTATTTGGATCATACGAAGCTATGTTTGGAATGTATGTAATGTAATGGGAATGAAACGATCGCCTCCTGGCTATTTCATCTCATATTAAATTGTTTATATAATATATGAGACAACTGTATATATATAAAAAAAACCACCTGAGTTTCTTTCGCCGGTTGTTCTCAGGTCAGGGTATTTTCTTTTCCGAACCGGTGGTAGTGTCTCAAGTGACCATCAATAAGAAAGTGTAATGCTTCTATATTGAATAAAGTTATTTGAGTTTGTTTAACCTTTGTTTACCTTGACCTTAAGTTGGTAGGCCCGTTGTTCGATGGTGGGCATAGCCCTAGGCCTCTGGTGCATGGCTGCGAGCGCCCTCCTCCTAGTGGCGGCGGCTGCTGCTCGCTCCTCAGCCGCTGCCACACACCACGCGGCCGTGACGTTGTGGTACAATGGACACGCGTCCCATGTGAAATGACGAGTTGCTTTACCACCTGGGATAGTGAGAGAATAACTCAATAGATGACTTAATATACGTAAAACATCTTATATAGCTGTAAACATTATAGAAATTAGACTATAAAATGAAAGAATATTTAAGGACCATAATTTTACAACAAATTATGGTTCAATGGACTAAAAAATTTGTTCTTTCTTGATGTACAGTGGTTCAAGAATAATATACGTCAAGACATCTTATCAGCTATAAACATTATAGAAATTAGACCATTAAATGAAAGAAAATTTAAGACCATAATTTTAAACAAATTTTTCATTATCATCATTATCGGTAGAACTTCGATAATATAAAAATGATTTTTCTTTAATAAAACGAATATTCTGGATTTACTACACGTTTTTAATTAATTTTAACAATATAATCCCTATGTCTCGGTTATTTGTAGCTACCTTGATCTTTTGCAAACGAGATGTGTGACTCGCCAAATTCTTAGATCTCATTATGCTTTTACTAAGTACAAGAGGCGATTACAATATGTCGTTTTGTATACTATCATATGCAAGGAAGGATTATGATAATAAAAACTAAAAAGTATCTGTTTTTTGATAGGCTATGGAAGTGTGTGGTTAGAATTTAAACAAATGTCTTTGTGGCAAAAAACAGATAAACAGAATAAATGTTTATTATGATTTAACAAAATATGTTACGTAATTTTTTAAATGAAGTTATGTTTCATTTAATTTACTTCGTGTTTTGTAATCTACATTTAAAATAATCGTGTTATGTAAACTACATCATCCTAAGGTATTATTTGCAGACGACAGCACCTCTTTAATTAAATGTAATAATAAGGTAACTTATGAAAGTCAAATAAATAGTGCAATAAAAACAATAGTTAAAACCAAAAATAATTTAATTATAAATTTACAAAAAACTCAGACAATGCATTTTTTTCAAGGATCACAAGTTCAAGAATTAAATATAAACTACAATAATCAAAGGATTGAACAGGTTAATGTTGCTAAATTTCTTGGTATATTGATAGATAGTCAACTAACATGGAAACCTCAAGCAGAAAAGATTTGCAAAAAACTTAACGTCTCAGCATACGCTTTACATAATTTGGCTAAAAAAGTTGATGTTAACACCATTCTAATTGCATACCATGGTCTAGTTGTTTCTTTTTTAAGATTTGGCATTATATACTGGGGTAACTGTAGTCAAAGGGAAAGTATTTTTAAAGGTCAAAAACGATGCCTTAGATGTATTTTCAATTTGAAGGTCACGGACAGTTGTAAACCGATTTTTAGGAAATATGAGCTCTTAACATTTCCTTGTTTATATATATATAAAGTTGCGGTCTTTGTAAAGACAAACAAGCACCTTTTCCCTTCATTGAGAGAAGCGAGAAATCGGACTATAAACCTAAGGTCTCAGTATCATAATCTTTTATGTACAGGCAAGTACAAAACTGCTTTGTTGAGAAAGAACATTTTGACCATGGCCCCTATCATATACAATAAATTACCAAACGAAATTAAAGACTTAACTTGTGTAAAATTTAAAAAAAAATTGTTTTCCCTTCTAGTCAACAAATGTTATTACTCAATAAATGATTACCTAATGGACGAAACATAATATTGTAATAAATTAATGAATAAAAAATGTATCTATATATAACTTACCCATCTATCGTTGTTAATTTTGATTAATATGAATTTATAATTATAATTGCATTGTTTAATTTTAATTTAATGGTTAATTTTAATTTATAATTTAAGTCTAATATTTGCATTGTTATTTAATTTCTAATTTTAATTTAATGGTTAATTTGAATTTATAATTTAAGCCTAACATTTGCACGCCTTAAGGTAGAATGTACCGGAACTTATACTAGATTCAATTATATACACCTATATTCTGTACCTACATTCGGAGCAAGTAAATATTATTATTATTATTATTATTATTACGTCTTCACACGTGTGTGCGTGCACGTGTGCGCATGTGTGTGTGTGTGTGTATTATACCCAAATGTCCACTGGAGTCACAGTCCCTGACGGGACACCTCCTCTCTGAAGGAGCGGTCGGTGGAGCTGGTGTGACCGGCGAGCGGCCGATCGCAGCCCGAGCCTTCGCCAGGCGTTTATCATCCTTACTGTAATATAAATAAAATATATTTTTAAATGCACTGTCATATATCTTTTTATACATATAAAAGTCAATTGCTGTTCGTTAGTCTCACTAAAACTCGAGAACGGCTCAACAGCTTTATCTTATCTTAGTCTTGAAATGTTCAGAGAGGTTCAGGGAAGGTTTAAAAGCTGAAAAAAATGTTTCATTTCCGGGAAAACCCTAAAACCAGCCCTTTTCTATTTCCCATACAAACTTTTTTTTTGACATTAGATTTGACAACTAACTAATATGTCAATCATTCTGTTGCACTCCAAAATACGGATATTTATAGCTTAAAGGTAAACTCCAAAAAAATAAAAAAACTACATTTATTTATCGACTGAGGCAGTACGAAGTCTGCCGGTCAGCTAGTCTTTATATAAAAGAAAGTCGTTTTAGTTACTTTACTTATAACTTAAGAACGGCAGTACGCGTTTTGCTGAAAATTGGTGGAGGGATAGCTTAGAACAAGGGAAAGTACAACGGATACTTTTTATCCGATTAAAAAAGAAAAAAAGAAGTTGATTGAATCCAAATCTTATCTACTGTCTGCCCGATCAGATATACATACATTTCTAATTCTGAAACTAACGCAAACGAAGTCGCGGGCATAAACTGGTATACAATAAATGAAGGTAATGTTTTTTTATGATTGAGGTCTATTGTATTCTATCAACATTTATTCAACTATATACCTACATATTATTTTAATTCCTAATTTTTAACTCCACTGTCAATTATTTACCATAAATGCAATATATATTTTTTATGATTAAGGTTTATTATATTCTGTCATAAATTATTTGACTTCACACATTTATTTTATTATCTACTAGTTTTCGGCAGCGACTTCATCCAAGTTAATTTCAGAATTAATGTATGCATAAGTGACCGGGCTAAATCTATTTCGCCCTAAAGCCCGTAAATAACCAGATATCGGAATTTATTATTTTTTTTTTTGATCGAACAGAATTAAATATCCTATGTCCGTTTCCTGGTTCTAAGCTATCTCAACATAAAATTTGTAACCATATCCCTACAGCCGTTCTTGAGTTATAAATAGTGTAATTAACACAACTTTCTTTTATATATATAGATATATGAATATAATTACCTCTGTTCCACAGTTTTATCATCAGCCTCTGAGTCGGTATCTGTATTGGTAGGTTTGGCTGCCATTCGGGAGACTCTGGCTGATAAGGATCGAGTCAACTTACGAGTCATCGTACCCACCGAGTCACTCGAATCACCACTCTTTGGTGTTGTTTCCGGCTGGAAAGTAGATTGCAATATTATTAAATAGAGGTCAATGACTTCTTAATATTTAGTGATAAATAAAAAAATATCTATGGCTATAAAAACATGCATAAATTTGATGATCAATAACTTGGAGACCAAGTTTAGATGTTTTCAAACTCATACAGATCAAAGAATCAAAATGATTATTGAAAGAAAATAAGTCTATAGCAAACATTTACATAACATTTTTTAAATACTACTACAGTTGTAAGTAGTTATCAGTTATCACTACTTCTACTGTACTACTTACACTTAACTAACCTTACTACTCGAATTAGAGGATGGTTTAGATTTGCTTGTGTTTGAATCTTCTTTTTTCTCCGTGCGATCACTGTCACTCTCCGAGGACACAGATTCAACTGATGATTGGCTAGACGAGCATGAAGACGCGCTTTTGTCCTCCGAAGCTTTTTTAGACGGAGGCCCACTTGATCTACTCGCTCTACGTTTAGAACTATCCTTGGAGTTAGAATTTGAATCTTCATTTTGCACTGGCATCAATGGTGACGGCGTATCTTTTTCATCGCTGGATTTAATGCTCGTCTTTTTGTTAATTGGTGAACCTTTTGGGCTGTTTTTGGACGTTTTGCTGTCTTTGCTCTCAGTTTCTGATTCAGAACTGTTGTCGGGTGAGAAAATGCTTTTCTTTTTCAGTGAATTTGCATCTATTTTGTTTGCTTTCGGTATTGTTTTTGATATAGCTTTAGACTTTGCACCGGTTGTGGTCCTCGGAAGTGTTGGTTGTTTTTTGACGAGTACTGACGCAGCGTTTTTAGATTTGATTGATCGTCGTCTTGGCGGCATTGGTTTCGGTGTTTCGGGTTTTGGTACTTCATCGTCACTGGATGAAGAGACTTTGGCTGGTCTTTGAGGTTTCGGCTCCTCTTTAGGGGGTTCTTCAACTGGTGGGGGTATTGGAGATTTTGGAGGTGGTGCAGTGGCTGGGACATCGGAGGTGGAGGATTCAGAGTCAGAACTACTGGATCCCGAGCCTGAACTTGTAGATGATGTCCCACTACTGCTTGAATCAGATGTCGATCCTGAACTGCTGTCAGTACTGCTGTTACTCACCTGGAAATTGAATTTAGTACACCTTTATTCTATAAAATTTAACAATAATTTAAATTAATATCAGTCAAGCATGGTTTGTATGTAAGGTATATTAACTTGCATAAAACATATTAGTGATAGGGTGAAATTGTTTTATTCATTTAATCTGTTATTTATGGTCAATAAAAAATTACATTACAACTTATTATATTTGTAAAGGCATAATATGTATAAGGTTTTAAGCTAGTAGGGGAATACTAACATCCAAATTAGTCATGATGAATTATTCTGAAGGCAAGCACAAAATTGATAGTGACAGTGAAGATGTCCTCAATTATTTATAGATGTTTAATGAGTGTGCATTTCATTTAAATAACTAAAAAAACATTTTCTATCACTCACAAATCACAATACTTTCTCAAACAATAATCAATTTTGACGTTTGTCATTTAAAGATGACATTAACAGCAAGACCCTGTCAAGTATTGCTTTCCGTTACACACAAATATTTTACATTTAACAGTTGTATTTTTATTTCAATAAATTTTATAATATTTGTTGAAATAATTTACTATATTTATATAAGCTACTTCAGATAAAAATCTGTTAACTTTCAGTTCCTAATAAACATGAATGTTTGAATTTTGAATAGGCAACAAACCGTAAACAAGTTCCATCAAATGTAAACTATTCCTTGTTTTGATTGATTCTGTTTATTATTCTCGACATCACTAGTTGTCACTTTTATTTTTTCAACATTTCTTGGAAAGTTGTGTTACAAATGGTGTTTCGTTGTTTACATTTTTTGCAAGTTTGCAATAAATAAAAATCTTATAAGAATGGTGTGACTCCTTGTGCATTCCGATAAAGTGTATTTTGCTATCGCATTCTCGTGTCCTCGAAAATGTCGTGCAGTTCGGTGGAAGATTTACCTGAACAGTGTAAAGTACGTTATTTGTTTGTTATCCTTGTTTCGCAATTTTTTTCGTTCATTACACGTGACCTTGATAGTTGCATACACAAGTTAATTCAACCCAACAGCTACAATCTCACGGATACTATCAATTGCGTCACATTCCAGTCATTTAAGACAATAGTTTTACTTTGAACTTAATTTTTTATAATATTTTTAGAGCTGACGTCTAAACTTACTTCCGTCGGCTTGTATTTTATGATGTAGTGTTTAATATTGTATTATTATACCCATATCCAATCATTTACAAGTTTTTTACGCGTTTTTTATACTTTGTCTTTGTTTGATATATTTAGTTCCCAATTAACACGCCATAGAAATATCAAAATATGATTTTATTTGTTAAATACTAAGCTTACACATAAAATAACACATGTAATACATTGAGTTAACCCTCATTATATATATTTAATTTGCAATTTTTGTATACTTTTAATTTCTATCTACCCTCTAAATTATATCTGATTCCATGATGAACTAAAAATATTTTATTCAAATTGAATTGTATGATATATTTTTATTTAGCTGGGAAACCAAAATATACAAACATTTTATAACAATATTCATATTAGAAAACAATTTATGGAATATAATTTAGATTTCATAGTTGATAAAAACTTATACTTTATCTTAATATATAAAATATTTATACATATTATATTTATCAGGATCTGTTCACACAAGATGGAGTCCTCCTCAAAGCATCACTCGGTCGTCCGATCACCGACCTCAATTCCATCGGCATGTTATGCATTGTACAGAACATGGACGGCTCTAAATGTATCGAGTGGCGTCCCAACGACCTCATTACCATCGATTCAGACACACAGGACCAAGAATGGGCTGTTGTTAACACAATAGGTATTTATTGGTGTTTGTCTTTAATATTCTTCTACCTGGCAATTTCCCAGCTTAATCCAGGGTCTGCTTTAAATGTTGTGAATAGTTTTGGATAATTGTTTTTACGGTCGCCTGCCTGACATCAACCCTCTTTGGGAATCAGTATTAATCAGTGATGTCTAAATACTCTTAGAAAGTACATATGACTCGGAAAAATCACATTGGTCTTTAATATTATGTAATAACATATAAACAATAATTAATGGGTGATATGTAATAATGTGTTTATGTCGGAAAGGTTAAGTAATATATACACATTACTCTGGATTGATAAAAAATAGTAAATATATTGACACATCTAGTATATGTTAGTTATTTACAACTGAAGGTTATCTAAGTAGTAATAAATACTATTTTTGTATATATAATATATGTATATTATATACTGTCTATTTGCAAACTATGATAAAATTGCTTATGAATTTTCACTTTATAGTGAAATTAAATATATAAATGTTTTTTCAATATTTCTTTATGTACACAATGTTTTACAATACAATTTTATTATAAAATATTGCAAGATGTAACATTGGAACCAATATAACAATGTGATTTATCTATAAAGGTAAATGGATAGATAGTTTTATCTCTAAAGTTAAGAGAGCTAGATAGTTTTATCTATAAAGGTTAAAGAACTATAATAATGTAAATTGTGATAAATATAGTTTGTAATTCTTAATGTTTCAACACTTGTTTGACAGAAAAGCAAATGATTTTACATTGATATTGTAAAATTAAATATATCTTTGTTCAGAAACTATTGGTTCACCTTGAAATGTTTGTGTTTTAGCCTATAAACACATATGTAGTTGGGCAATAACTATTACAAATGTTGCCAATATGTATGATAATTATTCCTTTTAAGAAATATGACTGGTAATAGTAAGATTTATCTAAAGTAGCCTCTTAATGTATGAACACTGAAAATATTTTGAAAATAAGTTGCAAAATTTTTTCTTAGAATGAGCAGTACCTAAGGCCTGACAAAAAAAAGAACCTATGATGTGTTTTTAGCATATGCAACTGCCTTTACTTCCTTTGTTATCGCGTCTTACAATTTTTATAAATTTCATTGTTTTTTTTTTTTATATTCCTAAAGTAGCTGAGGATGCTTAAAAATATTATCAAACTATGAAGAGGCATACAAAACACAAATAACACTGGTTATCTTTGGTCAGACCTTGGTCAATGGCGACCGATTCTCATAAACAATACTCGGTAACAATATATGTCTCAGATGCGGTTATACGAAGCTTAATATCTAATAAGAACTGCAAGCTTGTTGTTTAGAAAAAAGTACTTGAAAATTCTTAGGTTGTTTAAATCGTAAAAGAGGCTATGTTCATTGCTAATAGTTGTTACTAATCTTCATTAATATCTTTTACATAAATATTAATAATACTTTAGTTATTTTAATTTTTATATGGTTATAACTTACAAATTCAAACCACGGACTCATTTATGTAATTATAGTTAAATCCTTTTTTTAACGTCTGCTGTTATTAATATCTACCCTCCTCTCGTCACATATCATATACAATATTTAATTTTGTGATATATGTACAATTATTGTAGAGGATTTTCCAAATAAAACATGGTTACTTCGTAATAAAACTATTCTATATGTATTACTAGATTTTGTCCGCCACTTCGTCCGCGTTAATTTCGGCATTAGTAATATATAGCTATACTGTGCGATGTTTATTCCGCCCTCGAGGCGGTAAATAACCCGATATTAGAATTATTATTTATTTTATTTTATGAATTTTCCATCTAATAGAGTTAAATAACCTATTTCCGTCTCCTGGTTATAAGCTATCTCTCAACCAGTTTTCACCATATCTCTACAGCCGTTCTCGAGTTACATATCTTGTAACTAACACAACTTTCTTTTATATATATACATATTTTATCTACTTTATTATTATATTTTTTTGATTATGCGATCTGTTTCTTTAGCTGTATCTCATTAAAGGTCGTCGTCAGAGGACGTTAAGCGGCAACATGACATCCGACTACGAAGCTGCTCGAGCTCGCATCATAAGGATACCTCTGGACGAACTAAAATCATTCAAAGTATCTCGGAACAATCAGCAGATGCAGTTTTCTACCAAACAGGGCGTCTGGCAGAACACTTGCTACTTCCAGCACGGGAATGCGGAGATATTCCTATCGTATCTGAAGAATCACGTCAAAACAGCGAAGACCAGGCACGATAGGAACACGTACGTGGTCGTGGAACCAAACGTTGAGTCTCAAGTGTTGAACAAGTCGTTCGCTGAACTGGACATATTTACTGAGAACACTACGGATGTGGTCTGGAACTTGGTGTCCAACTTCAAGCAGAGGCCTTACGAAACTACCATGGAAGCATTCTCCAAACTCACGGATATTGGTAAGATTTGACGTCATGATAGAAAAATATGATGATTTATAAGACTTTTGCGAGTATTCATTTGAATGAAACTAATATTTTTGGATTATTAGACGTTTTTATTACTGTAAATTACAAAATTCAGACTTTTCGATTTCTTAGCAGCAACCGTGATCACGGTCAGATTGAATGAAATTGTATTGAAATATAGTTCTCCCTTTGTGTCTTAACTCTTTTTTCTGCTTCTTACTTTCGCTAAATCCTTGTAATTTTTCTTCGCTTTTATGGCAAGAAGGCTGACCAATAATCTGATGCCGTGATAGTACGTTCTATTATGAATAAGATATAGAGTCAACAGAAAGTGGTATATTGAGAACAGTGGCGTGCACACCCCATGGCCTGAATCTATATGCAAATAAGTTCTGCATACCCTACCCACATAACAACTAAACCTATATTGTTAAATACTTACATACTTTTAATCATACATTACGAAATACAAATACTTACAGACATTTAAAATGACATTTGATTTACGATTTGTTAAAAGTCCCATCTATAAAGTACGTAAAACGAAACATTTTCGATCGGTCTTTGCCAATTGCTAGCGCCGCAATGCAGCCAGAGCGGCGTTATGCACAACCACTCTCCGCTTATTTTCCATACAAAAATTCTCAAGGACGATCTATAAATCTCGTGTTGTATGCAAGAAATATTTGTATGTGTGTGTAAAGCTATGCATGTGTTAGTGTTTGAGAAGCACTGCATACTTTTTGTTTTAAATCTCGAAGAAAGTCCGTTAATTGTCAAATGAAAAGGGACTCTGTGATTGGTCCAAAACTGTTGGTAAATTTTATTCGTCATTTTATTAGTATTGAAAATTGTCATTTGTCTTTCTAAGCGCAAGTGAATAAGTTTTAATTAGTTAATTAGTAAACAGTGAATTAATTTATTAACGAATTATGAAAAATTACAGCTGTGAGCTCTGTGCCTGTGATGTGTGTTTATCGAAATTATTTACGAGTAGATTATCAAAATTGTCGTTTGTTAATAAAATTAAAATAATTACAAAGGGAAGGTGTGTGGCCAGTTGCGATTGCACTAAAAGAAAGGTAATATTATTCTGTTAGTATTATTGTATATGTTATATAATTAGGATTATGATAGTTTTAATTCGCTAGCAGGTTGTGTACAAAAAAATAAGTTATTTTGTTTTCATTGTTTGGTGTTTTCAAAAAATAATAATAATGTTTTTATCTCCACTGGATATTCCGATTTAAATATTTGTAAAGCGGTAATGAACAGATCGTAATCGTTTTAAGGTACTTTCGTGGCTCAGAGGTAGTTAAAAGATTTGGAGTTAAATGAGTTCGTTCTAATCGGGCTACTGTAACATTATGCGCGAATATTATCAATATTTAAAGAAACTAATATTTTCTGATTACTTCGCGAATTTTATTATGTTCAAAAACTACATACTCCCGACGATTTGGTTACTTTGCAGCAACCGTGATCACGGCAGACATTTCATCTGTCCTTCAAAAAAAATAAATGACGCGTAGGAATCCGAAAATATTAGTTTCATTTAAATGAATACTTGCAAAAGATCTCATTATTATCAATGGTTTAGAGTAGGACATGCTGAAAATTGTTTTTTTTACCCTACCTCAAATCTCCGTGCACGCCACTGATTGTTAATATGTGATAGTTCACTAACTAAGTCTTCTTTTCCACGTATATTCCTATAGTGTATTTGGTTAGGTAGAGAGAGGAGTTACGACGGTGGAGGTGAGCGTTTAACGCGCGTTAGATAGGGGTTCTTCAAACCTACACATGGATCGCAAGTCCCAGTCACTGTTGAAGCTCCTCTCCCTGCAACGATGGACCCGGAACCCGTACGGTGAATCCATTGAATGCTGAGTAGTTTCGTCTCATAGTAGATATATAAAATGTGTTTACAGTATACTATGGTGAAGGTGTTAACGGTAAGCGTGAAATGTCTGATGAAGTGGCAGACCTCCTCACGAAAAGTATGAGCGCTTTAGAAGACACCACCAGCATCGCCAGGAGTGAAGAGTACGAAGTCATTAACGTGAAGCCCACGCTACCTCCGCGACCTTCTATACCCAGGTAAGAAAAAACTAAAAATAATGAGTCAAAACAAAATAAGGGCCACTTTACTATGTAGGGTGGTAACTGGAGGTTCCAGGAAAACTACGAAACTACATTATAATACGAATTACATATTGAAACTTATAAGCTACACCTAAGACTGCATGATTGTCCCGATGTTAGGATAGCAATACCATTCCATAGCTTGTGTGGTATCAGGAATCTTCTGGTTCACACGGCTTGGTGTTCGCTCCACGGAGTCAGCAGCGACACGTTACATAATATTTTATCAATATAACGATGTCGCCCCGGCGATGTTCATTTATTTTTGAATATGTAACACGTACGTAACAGCTTGATTATTACACAAAACTACTAAATAGACATGTTGGCCTTTATTTTGTTCAGACTAGTATATGTGACAGATACAGTTTCATAACTCATAAGTGATGTGGGTATCCAATGATCAATCTGTTTATTATGTAATCAAATGGCGAAAAGTCTAAATAAGCCTATATAGCCCATCGTATTTGTGTTTTAATGTAAGGTCGAGCGAGCTCTACCAGTCTTTGGTAAAAACATTTTTTTGGACCTAAAAAACATCATTCCCTCATATTATTTTCAACATCTCGTATGGGTTAGAAAATTCTACGAAAAAATTTCGCTATTTATTTCTAAAGTAGAGTTAATTCATAGTGAACGTGCCATTTTAAAGTAATATTTATTTAGTATTCAGACGTTTTACACTAAAAATCCATAGTACCAATATTGTATAATATTCAATACGTGTTTCAATTCCAGGGGAACACCTTTATCTACTGAGAAATGGGACGGTTTACAGGATCCAGAAGGAAGGATCACTGAAGTGGAGGGTGTGAAACAATTAATATTCAGAGGGGTTCGTACAATATATACAAAGAAAAGTAGTCTTTGTTACTTCTTATCACGTCAACCATTTGCCAGTGAAAGTTCTATTTAAATTGCTTCAGCCGTTTCAAAAGATTAAAAATAACAAATTTACACATAGACACTTTTTTTAAATATAATTTTTTGGTGCATGTATAAATAAGTTTTAAGAAAATTATATAATATGTAATAAGTAATTGAATGGTAATTAGGAAAATAATAAAACATTACAAAGAAAATTGTAAGATTTTTGCCCAAGTCATTGTTTCTTAAAAATGTTCATAATTAGACACTAATTTTTTTTTTTAAATGACCATTTGTATTAAAAATTTGATTAAATTGTTCATTCTATTTTATTATCATGATCCTTATTATTTATTATCATTTCCAGGGCGTCGCACATTCAATACGTCACTCAGTATGGAAATATCTGTTGGACTATTATCCCTGGAAAATGACGAAGGCAGAGCTCAAGAGTTTACACAAGAAGAAAACAGAAGAATACTTCTCAATGAAGCTACAGTGGAGGTCAATGACCGAGGGCCAGGAATTAAGGTTCTCCGAATACAGGGATAGAAAGAGTTTAGTAGAAAAAGATGTTAATAGAACAGACAGGACGCATCCATTCTTTGCCGGTGATAATAATCCTAACTTGGTAGTACTGCAAGATATTCTGATGACGTACGTCATGTATAACTTTGATCTGGGCTATGTACAAGGAATGAGTGATATATTAGCACCTCTACTTCTACTTATGGGCAATGAAGTTGATAGTTTCTGGTGCTTTGTTGGATTTATGGAGAAAATTGTGAGTGAATTGACATATTTTATAATATGTATAGGGGTTTTCTCTTTGTAAATCTTCTTCTACCAAAGAAAATCACAAATGATGTTCTTCTTTTATTTAAAATTCATAGTATAAATATTAATGAAATTTAAAATTTTGCTCGTATATTCATATTTTGTTTCTTTTTCTACTATCTAATATTGGAGAGAAAAATACATATATTAAACATTTATAAATATTGTGTTCCAGTCGTCAAATTTTGATATGGACCAGGCTGGTATGAAGCAGCAGTTGTTGAATCTACAACAGCTAATGGCTTTCATAACACCGGATTTAGCCAAACACCTCGCTAGTAAAGATTCCGGGAACATGTATTTTTGCTTCAGATGGCTCTTAGTGTGGTTTAAGAGGGAATTCTCTCATAGAGATATCATGAGGTGAATCATACTTATTTTATTAAAGAGAAGTTATGTTAGGATATATTGATGTTTGTTACCCTTTAAATAAGAAACTGCTTGACAGATTTTAATGAAACTTCACAGTGATGTAGCTTAATCATCAGGATAAAACATAGGTTATATCTGAAAAATATTAGTTTCGTTTAAATGAAAAAACCCGCGAAAATCTCATATCTCATTAGGTTATTTTTTTTTTAAATTCCCAGTAGCGCTTGTGAGATGGAGATTATAGTTTTATTGTGTATAAAGTTACGTGAATCAGAATATAGATGTCGCTGTATGTTGGTTAACATATATATTGTTTTAACATACTATAGAAATTTCTCTTAATGTATAGAAAAAGTTGTTTTCATTATACAGACAAAAATGTTAATTGACAAATTAATATATTTTTGTGTGAAGCTTGCTTTTATGGATTATTATATTGATTGAATATTTCTCAACAAAAAAGTTAGTTTTATCAAAAAATTTATTGAAGAAAAGGTTATGTAACATAATATTTTGAATAATAGGAATAATAACGGCATTGAAAACATATTAAAAAAATGTTTTGTATTAACAAAAAACATACAATTTTAGTATTCAGTAAAAAATTCATAGATTTAGATTTTAAAATATTAGTATACATATTTATAAGTCAGTGGTGGCTCAGTGGTTAAAGGGCCCGCCTCTCGGCCTCTCGTCGCCGAGGGCGCGGGTTCGATCCTGACCCGGACAAGTACCAATGTGATTTTTCGGAATCATATGTACTTTCTAAGAGTATTTAGACATCACTGATTAATGTTGATTCTCAAAAAGAGGGTTGATGTCAGGCAGGCGGCCGGTCGTAAAAACAAATAGCCAAATCTATTCATAGCATGTAAGGCAGACCCTGGCTATAGCTGGGAAATTGCCAGGTAGAAGAAGAAGAAGTATACATATTTATAAGTTTTTGTATATGTGGGTTTATAAATAATTGTAATACTGGATAGACATATGCCACTATTTCTATACTGCATAAGTGTTTATGTTTCTCAATAATGTAATTCGAATATAATAATGATTTCAGGTTATGGGAGGTATTATGGACGGGGTTGCCATGCGCTAATTTCCATTTGCTGATATGTGTTGCCATTCTTGATGCTGAAAAGGATGTTCTTATTAGCAAGGACTACGGATTTACTGAGGTTTTGAAGGTATAGAATTTATTTACATTTGCTATGGTCTGATTTTGTCAAAGGCGAATATTTTTTGTTTTCTGGTTAATAATATTAATTAATTAATATTGTCTAGATTTTAAGTACCATATGTTACTCTCTAAATATAAGCAATCGACTAGTGAAGGTTCTGTCAGAATCGTTACAGCCATTTCAGATATTAGAGATAACAAACAGATCGACAATAATTTAATTTTAAAGTACCATGAATTCATTTTCAGTACAACAGCTGCTATTTAAATCTAAAAAAAAAACTAATTTAATCATTTGGAAGTGTCCAAATCTGTAATGTATTAGTTATGCTCGCTCGGTATTCTTAAAATAATATGATGTCAAGTGTAATGTAGATAGATTACTTTATTATATTAGTTGCTGTCATTCAGTTTGCTACTTACCACAATACATACAAGACAAATAATATAGTATTATTGAATACTACAAAATTAAATAATAATTTCCAGCATGTCAACGACCTATCAATGTGTTTGGATGTGGATATTATATTAAGCACAGCGGAGGGTATTTACCATCAAATAGTATCATCGCCACACTTATCAGATCAGATTAGAGTTATTTTGGGTCTCCCATTGGCTTTGAAGCCCGATGTACCAGAAACCGAACCCACTACATTCAGCAATGGTAATGACATCGGAGAAACGGAGGAAGTTATGTATCAAATAGGCTTAGATTTTAATTTTTAAGGCATTTCAATTAAGTTCAATTTAAATGTAGATCCCTTTTTTCTATATGTTCGTTGGTTTTAACTGTTACTGATGATTAACCGCACAATTTCTATCATTTACTTACATCATATTAGTGAGTTTATTAACACATGCTTTAAAATAAACCTTTTCATATAATTATTTTTAACAATTTTAAATTTTTAATCTGAATAGTTGATATTAAAATTATATTGCCTGTTGTCATATACTCATAATAAGAAAAAATTATAAATTGTTATAATTAACACAGAATATAAAATATTTTTCATTATAAGCATTTGTTAAAAATATATGACAGTATCTGTGATCATTATTAAGTAATCTTCAAATTAAAAAAACATTTGAAATACTGGAATGTACATGTAATTTTTATTTCTATGTTAATAATATAGAAATAAAAATTCATAATTATTGATATAAGATTAAATTGTACAATAAGAAAAGTATAATGTAGTCGTAAAAAAATAAATATTGTATAGAAAAATTACAAGTAAATTATGCCTGTTTATATTAAATATGTATGTTATATATAATGATATAAATGTAAATATGCTTTCATTTGCAGGTTACACTCGAATATAATGGACATGAGATATCTGTTGTAACAAAAACTGTCTGGGCTTTACTTGCCTAACAAAATACATATACCGGGTGAAGTGATAATTTTCTATTTTTATATAAAATGCTATTAAATATCATATAATTTAGAATATTTTTTGTGATATATATATGTATGTCCTTTGAATGCTATACTCATGTTGCCATTATAAATTTGCCTATTTATATAACATCACCTAAATTATGATTTATTTCACAATTGTTATTACTTAGAAAATTTATGTAGAATTCTTGAGTGTTCAAATTTTCATCACGAATTGTCAATACTATCACCAAATATTTATATGGCAACATTTGAAATTATTTTAAAAATCATCTGTGGCATTTTATTCTTGTATAACTGAAACCTACGCCTTAAAACGTCCATTATTTAAAATCCCGGTTAAAGCTGGATCCATGTATTCTTAATATGATTTCTCATCATCAGACTAAATACCAAATGTTTCTTGGTTTTCATTAACTAATCTTAAATATTGTGATTTACGAACGACTTTCGATCGTAATTTGTTTTGTCGTCATTTCCTACTAAAGTTGCATATTTTTGTTTTATAAATACATACATACTTGTTCTTGTTTATACTTTATTGTTAAAATTGTATAAATTTATTCAATTACTTGGCATATCTTTTTTTTAATGTTACGAATATGTGATTTTAATAAAGTTTTATAGAATGTCTTTAACTTTTATTCATTTAAATAAGCATACACAAAATCATTTAATTACTCAATCAATATAAGTGAATCACATTTATTAAATAATATACAATCAAAGTTATTATTAGTATTTTCAGTATTTCTTCTTTTTTTTGATACATATACTTTTTCTAGTATTTTTTGAGTGTTTTGTATTCAAGCAATTTTTTTGTATTTTTTCTGTACGGCCCTAAACACTATTTTTCTGAAGCTTATCTGGTAGAGAATGCATATTTTGCATAAAACTTGCTGGTTATGCAGAACTGATATGTAATAAATATGTGCAGAGAAATAATATAATCTGATAAAACTGCTTTCGATTTGGTATTTTTTCATATGTAAGCAAGTTTAAAGTGGTCTCCAGCCATGTTTCATTAATATGGGCGACCAGTATAAAAGTTTCTCTTTTTGATGATTAATGTATAGTTTTTTAAATTTATTACAATATCGTTGTTTAAGGCAAAAGATACATTGACTCACAAAGCTCTTGCTTTACTATTTACAAGAAAAGTAAACCAATCTATGGAATAAGAATACTAATGTATTTAAGGAATTAAATGAAATTCAGAATAGTTAAATAAATTATTTACTCTACTAAGTGAGATCACTATTAATAGCTATGTGTACTTGTTGATTTAAAACTACATGTTACAGCTTAATACATTCATGGACATTTGTGTGTGCGACTTCAAATGAACGTTCAAACCGTATCTCGTTTGATAGGACTTATCACACATATGGCAATGGAAGTTTTTAACACCGGTGTGAGTTAACGAATGTCTCTGTAACTCGGACTTTGAGAAGAAACGTTTGCCGCAACTTTCACAACTGTATTTCTTCTCTTTCAAGTGATTTTTACGTATATGTGAACTTCTTGAGCTAGAGGATATAAATGTAGCGTTGCAGATTTCGCATTTATGGTTTCTTGTTCTTTTGTGATTCCATAAGACATGTGAGTGTAAACTGCCGGGAACTTTAAATTTTTTTGGACAATATTTACAACTGTACGGCCGATCACTACTATGTGTCAGCATATGAATTCTGATATAGCCAGGTGGATATGATTTACCACACTGATCACACTGCCGTAGTACTTTTTCAGACTTATTTTTGTCCTTTTTGTCTATATTTGGTTGACAGGAATGATTATTCAGCTCAGTTGCACTGTAAAATCCTTCCCAGCAGTTATCACACACAAATGGCCTTAGATGCAATTTTCTATGTAATACTAGCGACCGAAAATCTTCAAACTTTTCGTGACAGTAGTCACAATCCCGGCCAGTTGTGCATCTTATTGGATGATTGTCACGGCAGTGTTCATTTAGATATTTAACAGAATGGAATTCAGCCTTACATTCTACACAGAATATTAAAGAGTTCTCTAATTTTGATATTCTTCTCTCCATATTAAAAATTCGGTTTTTGTTAGATTTATGGAATACTTTGATGGGTTTGAGGTCGTCTGAATCAAAACTTGCGTCATAGTGGTCACTGGTTGAATCGGTGAGATTTAAACTGTCGGACAATGTTTTTTCACTAGATTTTATAAGTATTTTAAAAGAATAAGTTATTATTAGTTGATGAACACAATTAATGCATATTTGGTCGGGTAGCAGATCATCAGATGGAATCTGAAAGAGAATGTAAAATTGATATTCACATTATTTTAAATAAACGCATCAATTCTAACTTTTTATTTCATTTACCTTATAGTTATAAAAATTATCTAAAATATCGGACAAGCGAACATTTTCTCCGGTTATCGACACAATATTATGAATATGTCGCATTTCTTTGCCACTGCCTAAGCATGTTCTACATCGATCCTTATAATTCATGATTTAGGTGTTTTATTCTTTATCTTAAATAAAAAACTTTCATACATAAGTTGTACTAGTATCTAATGATAAAGTGTATTGTGTACTAACACTACTTGTACCTATTTTGACAAATTAAACCAAAGTTGTTTATTGTTAATTAACATTGAGAGTTGTCAAATGACCCACAGTCTAGAAATCTACTGAGAAAAAATAAAGATTGAAGCGTGCAGTGCACTGCGATTTTAGAAGCCTTATGTCCATGTTTATTAAAATTGTTATTATTACATTACAGTTTGCGAAAGCTTAAACAGCAATTCTGAATATTTTTACAGCATATATGGAATGAAATATATTCCTAAAACACAATATCGTCTTTATCTCGTCAAGAATCTGATATAGTGATGGTTTCTTTATAAATTCAAAAGTAATCTATTTGAAACAAAATAATAATAAACAGATTAATAGATTTTTTCATAACATACATGAAAATTCACATAATATGTAGGTCAATTTTCTTAACTATTAATGTATGACATTGACATTGTCAAATATTTTAAAAAATGTTTTGCCCACCCTCTGAAGAAAATATAAAAGTTGACAACAAAAATTTACCTAATAGGAAAGCAAGTCGATCGAACAGGAAGAATAAAAAGCATATCAAGAAAAAAGTTAAAAGACATACAAAACTTTCTCGGAGTATGTCATCTTGGGCGGAAAATTTCACTTTTGCGGCTACTTGGCAGCTAAAGCAACAAGTTGCTTTTTGGAAAGCACGAGCTAAAGCTTTAGAATATGAAAACGGTGTATTACACGACGTTATACGTAGAAACCAATGTGCTGTTAAGTCTAATACTTGTACTGACGATGACGGAAGTAGTGATGAAAATAATCATTCCGAACAGGAAGACGCTCAAACAGATAATGCTATGGTTGAAGACAACGAGGATGACGAATTTGAAGTAAGTGAACAGTTCATAACATTTTTAACAGCAAACGCGAAGTACAAAGAAGACGCTAAACGTGAAAGGGAAAGGTTGAAGGCACAATCAGAAGCTGAAAATCAAGAAAATATTACAGAAGAGATCCAAGAAAGTGCTCAAGAAAATATGGACAGGATGAGGAATTTGTATGGTGATAAATGGCAGAGGATATCGGCATTAGAAATGTCCTTATTGACTAATTTTATACAAGAGTGTGATCAGAATAAACCTTCGTATTGGCCGAATATACCATTTAATTTTAATACAAGCTGACAATGATCTGTTAATAAATTTTAGATATAGTCTTTTTTAACTGTTTGTTTTTTATTGTCTGTATTTAATTGGGTACTTTTTTATTATGTGTTCATGAGTATTGCAGAAGTTTAACAATTATCTTGCATTGTGTATATAATAATAAAGCCTATTTTACAATTTACAATGTTTCCTATCATTTATATTGTTAGTTGAAGTAATATATATGTGAAGAACTTTAAGTTACTGGAAAAATTTATATATATATCGTCCCTTAGCTAACAACACCGCTCAAACAAAAAAATTTTCAGTTTTTACATTTTAATTCTATTATACAATTGACAATTGTGACAAAATAATTATAAATCATGATTATTTAACCACTAATTAGTGTATGTATTAAGTAGCAATAGAAAAAAACACAGATAGTTTGAAATATACAGTTTCGTCTCTTGTAAAGTTGGTAAAAATGACTTCGCAGTGTTGTAAGTTAAGGGACAATATCTATAATCTTTGGAGAAGTTGTGGGGTGTAAGTAGTGATTTCATCATGTATTTGTTTTCATTATGCATCTTACCAATCTTTAATATTCATAAGTTTCATGTACATAAAAAAAGGTATATATTTTTTTCTGGCCTTTCCTTGATATTTCACATGGACATTTAGATTTTTTTAAATTTTTATACCCATTGAAGGCAAGTCCCAACAATTAAATGGATTATTTCTATTCATAATACTTATTAAGACAATTTTTTAATAAAATGAATTTCACATTTTAATGCTTAAAACTGTTTAATAGTGATAACGGGGAATTAAAAAAGTTTTTGAGCTATTCTATGAATATCCAGCAATTATTGAAATGTACAATATAAATATGAAGACATATTTTTGTGACTTTTATTTGAAATTTTCAATATAATATTTTCTATAATGTTTTTACTTATATTATGTGCGAAGATTCCGAAGGATTATTAAGTACTTATGGATACAGAAATGTAGTGTCCGAAGAGTCTTATTAAGCTTCATAACATATAATTATTCTTGATATTTCATTCTCTATAAGTAATAATTTATCTGAACCCTTTCTGGTACATTTTGTACATAATATTATATCAAAGATATTTAATATATTGGAAGAATAATTGATGTTAATACAATAATTAACATAATTTTGAAGTTTCCTAAATTAAAATGACATGTTTTGGTATACAGATTTCCCTGTTTATTTTACTTTAATGGAAATTCTTCATATCATATATATTTATTCGGATTATTTTCTCCTTCTAAAGTCACTAGAAATTAAAACTAGTTATTTTCCACTACTTCTGCTAGGTTCGTTCAGATAAATATATATGTACATATTCCTGTTGTGCTAATAGGTAAAACTCTGGTTATTGGAGAAATCAAAATTTATGACAGATCCTGTATATATTTTGACATCTTTATATTTTTGGTGGAATTAGCTTTAAATTTGAAAGTAGGAGCTTTTATTAGTACTTTTAATAAATTAACTTCTGCTCTCTCAGGTAATACTTAAGTAACGACTTAACAACGAGGAATTACGTCTCAATGGAAGTTCTAAGAAGGTAAGCTGGTTTGTTTGCTACCGCTGATGATTTGTCGAAGGGCTTTCGAAATCTAATTTTTCCCCCTACCTTCTTATTTGAAATTTAGGCTTGAGTTCACTTCTTGACATGTCTCTTGAGACATGTTAAGTTTGTGTGGTTAAAAAATCTATTCAACACTTGTTTTATTTTGTATAACAGAGCACAAGTTATTTATTTGTCAATGATAGTGCAATATTCCGCTTAGCCATAATCAAATAGACAAAGCTTAGTTTGTAATGTTGCGTTTTTAGTGATTTTTTGTAAATATGTAGATCTATTCGTTATCATATGCCAAGAAAAGAGGCCGATGGCTTTCGCAGTGGTTTTAGTGAGTAGGGGCCTGCCCAGGCCGAGCCTCACACATCCCTTCCGGCCCCACCAAGGTCGGTTGGACGGCTCGTAAAAAGAGTTTCCACTACGTCATCAAAAAAAAAAAATTATGTTCATATACATAGGAAACAAAAAAAATACTTTTCGAAGTTATGATACAATAAAGATGTGATAATTGGGTATGTCAGATTATAGAGCATTGAAATACATTTTTTTGCCCCATTGGCATAAATTTTCATTTGCACAACTACTTCATAATGTCTCATAGTTCCTATGACAGCTTAGCAACAGTTTCATGTCTTTTTAAGTAAAGAATGGACCATAATACTATTAACTAGAACTTATTAATTACTCAGACATTTAACGTATATTAGTTTTGACTATTGACGTATTTACACTTTACAGGAGGATTGACAATACCTCGGAGGAGTAATCTATGATTTCTGTGAAAGCTATCTCCTATAAGCTCTGTTTGATACTTTTTGTAAAATATTTTGCCTTAAAAGGAATCGTTATATTTAAGATGCGTTCTGAAATGTGTAACCAACATTCTCCGAGACCATAGCATCAAGGTCTATAAATATTACGAGCTCACTCGGAATAGGTTCGTCGTGGATTTATACAAGGTAGAAATGGTAGCGAGAGGTATAATGGCTAAATTTCTCTACAACTTACTAAAAGACTTGAGCCTGTCCAGAACTCACATTATTCATTCTTGGAACATCAGGTTCAGCCCTAGTAGGTTCTTTTCAAATTTGGTTAGGTAGAGAGAGTAGTTTGGACAGTGGAGGTGAGCGTTTAACTTTAAATAGGTGTCACTTAAACCTACCCTGGTCGCAAGTCCCTGGCATTGTTGAAGCTCCTCTACCTGCAACGATGGACCCGGCACCCGCACCGTGAAGCTATGGAATGCCAAGAGGTCTCAACTCTTACATGGTTGAAATACTGATAATTATATGGGCCTGGCCTAACCAGAATGGATTGCTTTTCAAGTCGAAAAATATTATTATAAAGACATTTTTTTCTCTAAGCTAAATTATAAAAGAATTAAGTACATGAAATTCAAATCAACTCACATTTTTTTATTTCAAATATTTTGCGGAATTGAAACTTAAATAAGTATATGGATTATTTCTTATGTGATATAGTTTTGGTGTACAATTTTTAACTTTATTTCTTTTAGTTTAAGGTTTAATTTTTAATATATCAAAGTCGGACTTGTAAATACCAGTTTGATGAAGGCCCAGACGGCTGCAATTAATACGCTTCTAGTGTAAGATAATCCGTATTCATGTTTGAAAATAGATTTGCATAAGACATATTTATAAATGAAAATGGAATTACTAAAGAAATTTATTGAGTGAGCATCGTCGTGTTAACTGCCACACTTTAATAGTTTTATTTTGGGATTGTTAATTCTTCATGGACATGTAAGATGGGAAGTTTGGGAGGTAAATAAATGGAAATGTTTGAGGTTTTTTTAAATTTAGGTAAAAATAGGGATCTTTACCCGACTATGTCATCATTTTCACAGTAATTAAAAAATCACATTATATAAATTTTATTATGAACGCTTTCACACCTCCCGAATTAACACGAATGCAAGTGACGTCACAATGTAAAAATTAAAATGAAATTAAATAATTTATTTATAATAACGAATACCAAAATATATATCGTCATTTATAGTAGCGAAACAATCTTAGAAAAATATACAATATTTATATAAAAGCATAAGTTGTAAATGTTTTTACTTAAGCTCTCACCCCAATAAAACTTTCTCCAGTAAAATAGTAGTCGTATGTAAGTAGAATTAAGTAATAAAATATTTCTAATTAACTTTAAATGATACACTTTTATATGGTGATATACTTAAATGAAATGGTAGTGTTAGTTTACCATTTAAATATGGTTAAAATGCCAGAGCATGTTAAATAAAGTAATTAAAAAAATAAAAGACCTCGTAATTCATCGTAATAAATATCTAAATATTATTAATCAAATACTTACTTTTATCTTTATGTCAAATTACAGTTATATATATTATTCTGTAGTTTCAAACCCAATTTCTTTAATAATCTTAATACTTTTTAATCAAACATAAAAATGTATTGTAACTGACAACAGTACATAACTTTTTCGTTAACACTTTTATTCACTTTCGGATTTTGATAGTCTATGTTTTTGTACATTTTTTCTATCAAATTTATTGTTAAAATAATTTAATATTCAGTTTGAAAAATCAATTAAATTCTACAATTTATCCATATTTTAAAACCTATACTTGTTATTGGGTGACTTGTTTTATATGCATTCTCAACATGATTATCACCATAATAATATTCATCATCATCGGCCTACCAGAGCCCACTGCTGGGCAAAGGCCTCTTTCTCACATGGAGAAGGTTTGGGCATTAATCACCACGCTTGCTCAAGACGGATAGTGATTACAAACTTTTAGTTGTCAAATTATAAGTACAGTTATCCTCACGATGTTATCCTTCACCGTTTGTCAGTGGTGTATAAATATTCTTAGAAAGTACATATGACTTGGAAAAATCACATAGTACTTGCCAGGATCGAACCCGCGCCCTCGTGCTCGAGAGGCGTGCCCTTTAATCACTAGGCTACAACTGAATTATAATAATATACCTATATTTAAGTTATTTAATTTCTATACAATGATTAATATTAAAACTCTTCGAATCGTTTAAATTATTATCTCAAAATCGATTATATAAGTCAAGTTTCCTTACACATTAGCTAATAATTAATTGTAAACAATAAATTCGCCAAAAGATTCCAGTGTTGTAGCATTACCTAAGAGTCGTGATGCTGGTGTTCGGTTCCCGTCGTTTGCCTAAAACATTGTGCCATGAGATTACAAATTACTAGAATTATTATAATATTCTCTATGCAATAATGATCCAATTTTATTATTATAAGTTATTTTATCTAAATAAACTAACCTCATGTATATATGTATAAGTTAATATTAAAAAATGAGATGTATATTTGGACATCACTAAACCGATAATTACCGGTATTTTTTTTTGATTTTATACTAATAACTAAACGATAGGA